TCATCATCATCATCATCATCATCATCATCCATATGTCTCTACAAGCGTCTGTCTCCGATGAAGAATGTTGAATTGCACCATAAATAACACTCTACCACTTAACGGGGGTGCGGCCTCCACCAGGTTAAAATGACGATAGTCATGGAAATCTGCATGACAGGAAGATAATGGAATTTCAGAATATGTAACTACAGTAGAATGACAAAGCAACAAGATGAGTCGCTTTAGCGCCTTCCTGGCTATATGGGAGTTCTCTCTCTCTCTTCTCTACTTCAGTCTTCCCACCACCGTTTTGAAACCATAGTAGACTCTTCCATATACCATGAATGGCCTCTAGATGTCGGCCTTGATGAGGTCTGCGCCTTTCTCGGCCACGGCATATGTGGTGGCCATGATGTTTCTGTTTGGGTAACGTCAGCATGGGTACGATACGATTGTTTTCAAAACAACAACGAAAACGAAGAGCAAACACCTAAAATAAAAAGGGGGAAAATTCAAAATATGCAAAATCAACCGGTTTCAGTCTCACTCACCCTGAAACATGGCCCGGAAAGACAGAAGCATCAACAACTCTCAACCCTTTAACACCTTTAACCCTCAGCTCATTGTCGACGGCTTGGCCAAGCGCACAAGTACCGATCAAATGGTACTGTGTACTAATATGGTTCTTGACATAATCGACCCATTTTTCCTGTGTATCCATGTTCTGGTCCTGGGGAGGCAACTCCCGATCCGCCAGCGACTTGGCCAGCAGAGGGTGACGGGCGACTTTGTCCATCCAGGCTATACCGGCCGCGAGGATCTTTGCATCGACTTCATTGCGGAAGTAGCCCGGGTCGATGCGCGGAGGGGCCAAGGGGTCCGAAGTGGTGATGTGGACGGTTCCACGGGACAGAGGATGTTCCAGACACATGAGCAGCGAGACCTGCTGTTTGCCCGTGGGCGGGGCGCCAAAGAATTGAGTTTGGTCGGATCCCTTTGCGACGTCGAGACGGCATGGGATACAGAAGGTTTGTAGGTTTGCAAAAGTCGGGTCGCGCAGTTGGTCGACAATGACTTTCTCTTGGGCTTTTTCGAAATCTGTTTTTGCCAGCGATTTCGCTTCGATTTCGCGGATCGTGGCTTCGAGTTCCTCGGGCGAGACCAGTGATGCGTACGACACGAAGCCCATCATCATGCCGGGCGATGCGTAGGGGCCCTTTTGGGTCTTTTGGTACACTTCCTGCTGCATCTTCATGTATTGCTCGTCGCGTAGCGCGTCCATTGAGTCGATTCCGGGCTTCAGGTCGAATAGCAGACCGCCCAGGACGTGGTCTTGGAAATTGGCGCCTACTGCTTTGTTCTCCACGGCGCATTCGACGCCAGCTGCGGAGAGGACTTCGGGGTCTCCTATCCCAGATAACTCGAGAAGTTGGGGGCTTTGGATCACGCCGGCGGAGAGGATGACTTCGCGTGTTGCGTACACGCTGTACTTTTGCGACCCGCCATACAAGAATTCAACTCCTTTCGCGGTGTTGCCGTCCAATATGATACGGGTCGCTTGCGCTTCGGTTAACACCCTCAGGTTCGGCCGGTTCAGGTTGGGACGCAGATAGCCTGTGGCCGCGTATGATCGCTTGCCAGGGTCGTCGGTTCGATTGACCACTCCGAGACTGGAGTAGAAACCCATGTGGTCGCCGCTCCAGGCGTCGTGGATCGTCTTCTTGGTTCCTGTCACCTCATACGCCGCTTTGGCAAAGTCCACTTCTAGCGGCATGTACCAGTCGTTGAAGCTCGTGTGGATCGGCCCGTCGTTACCGTGGAACTTGTCTCCCCCAGCTATGGGCATGAACTGCGGATCCTCGTGCACCGGAGTCTTGTCCAGTGTCTGGTGTTTGCGGAAGTACGGAGCGAGTCCCTCCCATCCCCAGCCCGGGTTCCCCATGGCTTCCCAACCGTGATTGACACAATTTTTCGCAGGACGTACGTACATGAGATAGTTAATCGCACTGCTGCCCCCCAGCGCTTTGCCGCGAGGCATGGAGTATATCTTGTTGCCGGCATTGGGTTGGGGTATGCTGGTCATGCACCAGTCGTACTCTTTGCGGCCGATCTGGACAAGGAAGAACAGGAGGTGAGATCAGTCATGTGTACCTCAGCCTTGCCATGTGAAAGGACGTGCGGGTTGTAGGTATAGGACGTCGGGTAGTTGTGAAAGGAGAGCAATGTCTGAGTTGGGGGG